GCAGCGTCTGATATACCACGCAGCTGAGCAGCAGCGCATGCTCAGAAGGCGTTCCACAGCCCAGCAGACAAAGATAACAGCGCGCAGAAGGCGATTTTTGCAAAGGTCGATACTCTTATCCCGAGAGTAAACGATACGCGGAGGCCAAAATGACCTTGCCTAGTCAGTCCGCGATAGCTCTTTCCCGAACATTCTAGGTCGAATATTCGAGATGACGACCATACTAGATAAAAATCCCTGCGCCGTATTGCCGAGTAATTCACTGACTCTCTCTCGCGTTTGCCAGCTGTTACGCCGACGTACCGTCGCGTGCTGCGGCCGCCGCCGCCGACGCTGCTTTCTCGACGTCTGTACTTCTCTTTTTTGTTTTTTGTTTCTGGCACAAGTTCGACCTCCATTAAATCTTTAGTTCATTCCGTTTTCTCCTGCCTCTTCGTCTGTCATTCGCGACAGTATTCACTAAACTTCGAAAAACAGAGCACACAAACAGTTTTACCAGACCAACTTTATTTAGCAAACACTCCGGTACACAAACCACCACACTAAAATGTCATGGCTCTCATTCCTGTCATTCCGGCAAACGCGGCAAGTCTGGCATCGTGTCAGCCCTCACTGGTATTACTTCACCCCAAAAATATAGGAACGAAAGAAAGGTGGTGCTAAGTACAAAAACTGAAAGACTATACCCTCGAGCGATTATGTACATAGTCGGAATACACTCAAAGTACAGTGTGAGCGTTCTTGGCGACTCCGCGACAAGTTATAACGTGAAGAATGGTCCACACGAGACGAATGCATCACGTTTCTAGACTTTCTGTACATACTCATTTTTCCAAGTAGTTTTTAACGCAAAGCCGCGTAATGTTAAGCACTTGTCAACTATGATTCGCTGAAACTGGTTAAATTTGTATACTTCAAGATGACGGTAGTTAGGTAACAAAGTGTTCTTGAAAAAAAAAATTAATACACTCGAAAAAACATTCGCGACATTTTTTAGCGCGGGTATGTAAAAACTCCAGCCGCTGACTATACAGAGCGCTATTGCAAAAATAATACATATCTACAGGTACGAAATACTTTCGACATTAGGATACTGTTCATAACATCCTTTTCCTTCGTTCCAAAGAACTTCCTGTTAGGGGCTTGGTTACAGTGGCATCAGTTCTTTTTTCTCAGGAAGCTATGGCCAACTGCACTAAATTTGGCACATACGCCATGAGATGGCAAACTTGACGAAAGCGCTGGTGGCTAGTACTAGCAACAAGTTTTGTCTGTTTTGGCGGAACTTTCAGCGTAACTAACATATTAATAATCCCTTACTCCAGCAGTCGTGTCACAACTTTCGTTTTCTGTCTTAAAGCCATTCAGATCGACTTACAACTATTGCACGTCAGAACACGTATGGCGTATTTTGCACGCGCTATTCGTAACAGTGCTCTGACTGTCCTGTGGCCTTAACAAAAATGTCAACTTCGCTGTATTTACAAAACAATGGACGTATAGGAATCGAGTCACGCGCAAACAGAGAAATGTTAGCTTTTTCTCAAACTTGGGTCTACACCAAAGTTTTAAATGGGCAAAAAAAAAAAAACCTTTGCTCTTGTAATTGCAAGACATGATGGAAAATCCTGTTTAACAAAAGAAGGGTTCTTTCCAGAGTGTCCTAAAAGTCAACTTACAAGTGTGATCCCTCCGAGATCCGTCGGGTGTCCCATGTGTTCAATCTGATGGTTTTGCAAATTGTAAATTGACTTCATCCATTTGTGCGATGTTGTAACAGTAAGCTTGAGTGTAAAGAAACGCAGACTTTTTCACCTCAGAAATGAACATTCTGACAGTAATACTTGCTGCCATTTAAACTACAAAAGCAGTTTATGCCCTTGTCACATAAATAGTCAATAATGCCATCTACCGTAGTTATATCGTATAGTTGCAGTCCAGCGTCTAAATAATGTAGAACAAGCAGCGCCCATGACCACATGGGTTTTGATATGTAGATTTGGCAAAGCTTTCATAGTTTTGGCCGAAATAATGCAATTTTGCCAGAAAAAAACGGAACACCATGCTAAAAATATAGAAATTTGACCCAGGTGTACAAATTCCGACATAATAACTCGTGACACATCCACACGCCCCCACACATTAACATCATGTATGATTCGTTAATTATGAACTGCAAACATTCAATGTGAGCATGGAATACACAGCAACACGCCTATACTTACAAAGAACCGTGAAATCCTATACAGAAACTTTAGCGCGATGTACTACACATTATGTAGTACACACATGACAATCATTATACCTGCTAGTAGGGTTGTAAACATGCCGAGGTTATAGCTGCGTGTTAATAGCGAGAGCAATAGAAAAGTAATGGAGCTAATTTGCGAATGCTCCAAACTTCACAGAGGATACTTTCAAGAAATCGAGTTTCCACAGCTCCCGTGAAGACATCAAATACTCATACCATTCGCGTCAACTTTGATCACGAGACAGCTAACAAAACTCACAACAGGAACCGCCATAGCTATTATAAACTTTCACCAAAACATGTCTGGACTTAGTCTAGGATTGAAAAGAATCTAATTCCTAATCCATGAAGCTAGAACGGTTTTTAAGGCTATATTAATTTCTGGAATGTGCACCATGGTTCTTATCAACATCGTTCTTCACTATTTTCTTCACGTCCGGCCCGAAGCGATCTTCTCATTCTCGCAGCTGAGGAGGCACAAACTTGTTCAAAAACTTCTCCAGTGTCAGCAGGAATGTTGAGCATGTTCGACAAGACTGAGATCCCCGCGACGGGTTCCATTATTCACTCATGTCATGTGTTAAGTACAAAGCAATTCTGAAAATAATGAACCGAAAGTGGGGTTCATTCTAACGCAGGCGATAAGTCGCGGTAGATTCAGATTGATCAGCGATAAACAAACAAAAGCAAAAAATATTGAGTTAGGATGTATTTATATCGCCGTATGAGTTGAAACAAGTCAGCATGTTTCCTACAAAAGTTTTCAATTTATGTAACTTTAGAATGTACGCAGCAATGCTTTTAAAACTTTTGTATAACACAGCAGCTGTCACATGGTCTTTGTTGTAAAAAAGTGGTGCAATTTTGATTCCGTAACAATGATTTGTGCCGATTTTTACTTTTAGTTACAAAAACATTAGAGTAATACAGAAAAAAAATGTTCGAAAACAGTATGTCCGAATTGTTATTAAAGTACAAATCATGAGTAATCAGCTGACCCATTTGAGTCAATGCGATTCTCAAAATTGTTAAAATGCTCCTAGATAATACACACCATTCAACTGCTGCACAAAAGTCCCTGTCATAAAACTTGAAGCAAACATTTAAGCAAAAAATAAATAAATAAAAGCTGTGATATACCATTAAAACCTAAGTAGTTGAATGGCTAGAAAAAAATATTACTTCGGGAATCGCTTTGATTGGTGCTCCAAATTAATGTAAGAAAACTCTCTAATCAATAGATGGAAGTAAATTGCAAAGAGATTGCTAAAGTTGAGGTCTGATCAGGACTGATAAGACGAAAACAATGGTAACAAGTAATATAGGAATGAATGTCAGAATTGGATTTGCATTTCTATGGTGATAATGAATGAAAAGTAATTGTTTGGGCAAAGTCACCACTATAGTAAAGATTCAATTAGCACACAAAACCAATATTGAGTTGATGTGCTAAGCAAGCCTGAGGTAGAGAGCAAAATATCTGTATGACGTTCAGCAGAAGAAACAGTTCTAATATCGCACAAAAACACCAGAAAATGCCATCCAAGTATAAAATAGAATGATTGCAGTGAAGTGGAGAGGATTCGGATATTCATGCAAACGTCACATTACTTGTAATCTCAAGCTTTTTACGTACCAGGCATTTTAATTTCATACTCATAACACCATGAATGGGAGAAAGCACATTTCAAATATTACTGTCATTTGCAGATAATGAAATACTAAAACATAACCACAAAAAGTACCCTGAGCAGCTTGCAAACAAAACTTTGCACCAAAAACACAACATTATCTACCATATGACCAGGTTGCAAGAGAATATATCTCTGATGTAGCCAGAAAACAAAATTAATGCGGACTAGATATATTAGATTATTACATTTTGATAATGAAAAAGTTGTATACTGGCTAAAATCTTGAATAAATTAAGTAAGCGAACGTGTCACTGATTTAAGCACGTGGAATGTTCTTACAGATTGCAAATATATTGCAAGACTTACCTAAAGTCATCTATTGAAAATCTTTTATACGCCATTATGTTTTTTGTATCACTGCTCTCTTATACAGAATGTTTCAAAGCACAATACTTTAAATGTGAGAATTTTGTTGACAGTTCATAAACCAGCATTGTTTGTCAAGACAGGATGATCTCCCGATCTCTACAGTTGGCATTTCTCGTTCGACAGCCTGCAAATGGGTCGAAGGCAAACCATGCAAAGCATTACAAATAACACCAAATAAATGAAAGTACTAAATGCCACAACAATAGGGCAGTAAAGTGTATGATGCATGCCTAAATAGCAGATGAAGGTCAGCATTTTTAACCAATGGTATTGCAATCCTATTTTATGCTATTGACAATAAGAGTTCCACAATCGTCGTGATCATTGTTGAATATAATCAAGAACAAAGGAAAATGTTTCTGACACTGAGCTGTTAGGCCTTATCATCTGAATTAAACTTTCACACTTTCCATCAGCTGCCAGTTTCTAGATAATTTAGGATTGGTGATTCATCATTAGGAGCACAAGTCAATAGACACACTCCTTGTAAACAACTGAAGCAGTTTAAGTATTGACTCAGCCCAGAAATAAGGTCAAATATCAATCGCAAGCCATCAGAGACACAAAACATCACACTGTCAAGCATAAGTACATTTGGAAAAATGCAATTCCCAGCCAAAGACTGAATCTGCCGGCTCATAGCAGCTGGTCGATGACGGGGTACAGCAGAGACATGTGCTCAGCACCTTTTATGGGCAGCTTGTTGACAGAGTAGTGATGAATCATCTCAGGGATACTCTCAAAGGGCTTGCTGAACTGACCCAAGATGAATTTCCCATCTTCATTGTGCACTATCTTCATGTGCATGAAGCCTCGTGCGCTCCTGGTCAGAGAAAAGGGACAGAAAGCAGTTTTAGGTAAAGTACACATCAAGCGTACTTCAAATTTCATAAAAAGTGATTGGTAGAGTTTCAGCTTTCACTATTATAAACAAGGAAACTTGGTAGAATGCACATACCATAAACTCCCAAAATTTGGTAAGGACGCCCACCCAAAATGAAGAGATTAGTGGTGAAAAACATGGCGGTGGGCTATCTCCAAGAATGTGATAGCAAAACTTTATAAAAAATGAGTGATAAACACACGGGCTCCCGCTATGAACTAGATATTTGACCCGAGAACTGATGCCATAGATTGCGGACAGGGAAATTCGCGTTTTACGATTAGACAAACATGCGGGAAATTGCTAGGAACTCCTGTATTATGGGAAAGGATATTGCAGATTGTGGGGCGCTGTAGGTCGCGCTTCGCGTCGCGAAGAACACGCGGAAACCCACAGCGAATTCGCATGACATGGGAACTAATGCCGCAGATCACGGACGCAGCAGATTTGCGTTTCACACTGCAATAAAGACGCCGGAACCCGCTACTAAAACTCGCGAAATCGTGGACAGAAAACGCGGAAACTCCCTGCGAATTCCTTTTGGGAACGGATATCGCAAATCGCGCACGCAGCAGATTCGCGTTTCACGGTGCGATAAGCACGTGGGAACTTGATACACACTTGCGTGACACATGAGCTAAGATCGCGCGCGCAAATCGCGGACGAAAATGCGGGAACCCCGTACGAACTGGCGTGTCACGGGAACAGATACTGCGGACTGTGGACAAAGCAGATTCACACTTCACGATGGAATAGGGTGACCACCTTCCTGCTAGCGAAATGCGGGACGCGGGGGGGGGGGGGTAGTGGAATTTTATTAACACACACACCACGAGCCGAGGCTTTGTTAATACATTTAACATCACGTGCTGTTTATACACCTGCTAATAGTATTGCAGCAATTAAGCTCAATTAAGTTTTACTAAAAGTAATATATCTCTTATGGTAAATGTGTTATTAAATGTGTCGAAGTTGAAAACATAAATATCGACTGTAGCAGAACTCAGTGCATCAGATAAAAATAAGAAACATTAAATCTCTTTCGGGTTATTGTTTCTTGTCAACGCTTGCTTTTATCAACATAGTCAAACACAAAGTTTTAACATCATGTTCTTTTTCGACCGTTCCGAGTTGCAGGCTCTGCCTTCTGTGGCTGTGTTCACTAAAACAAAGATCCACAGAAACCCTTTTGCATTGACAGAGCTATTTGAAAATAATGACAATATTTTATATTGAAACTTTTGGCAAACAATCTTTCTCAGAATAATTTGCCAGCAAGGGGAGAGGCACAGCGGAGCATGCGCGTCGGTTCTCCTTCAAGAACGACGGTCGCTTCCCGGAATGCTTGGATAGAAAATGGTGTACCATTGCGATTCACACGATTACCAGCGACCTCCGGGCTTCGCCATGCCCCATTGTTCGGTAGCGCTATAAGTTGCAGAGTGAATTTTACTACAGTATAAAATGCGGGACATTTTGAAGATTTGGGAATTCGCTTGCGGGACGCGGGACACGAGCCCTCAATGCGGGACAGTCCCGCGAGTCGCGGGACGGGTGGTCACCCTACGATGGAATAAACCCGCGGGAACAGCTCGCGTGTCACGGAAACCGATACAGACTCGCTTGTCACACATAGCGGTACCACAGATCGTGCGGTTGATGTGGTTCCCGTCGGACATAACGTTATGTCCGATGGGAATAGAAAAGTGGGTGATATTTCGGAATTTTCATATTGTGGATATTTCGCCACAATAACAAGATGGGCAATCTCTGGGGGGTTGGGCGTTCATGGGAGATTTTACGGTATGAAATGAAATGTCACCATCTTGTTCCTGCTAAACATCAGTGCATTAAATATTCATGCATTACTTAGAAAAAAAAGACAAAAAACACAGCAAAGTGTTACACAACAAAAATCTGCATTAATCCGTTAAGCTGTGAGGTGATACCATCAGTTATTTTAAAACATTATTTATATCCATGTTCAACTAAGGAAACTAACTTTGAAGTCAAGTATTGTGTTGTCCTAGAAAATTACTAGAAAAATTCCCTTGAAGCAGAGTACAAGTATGTGCTACTTGAATTCACTTGGAATAAGGTATAATTGCACAAAACCTATTTGAGAGTCCCAAACTAATAAAATGGAATGATCGCGCCTTTGCAACTTCATGTCTGTACACCAGGAACTTTCAAAAGTAAGCCTAAATTGCTGCTGTAAAGTTATAATTTTACAAACTTGCCATAGGCTTTGGTGTAATATTTATCACCTACATGTAAAACATAATGTAAAAGAAGGGATCACACCTGGCTAATTCAGTATTTTAAGTTAGTAATTTAAGTTAGTATGTTAGATGTTCCTAATGTAATAGCTACGATGGTTCCCCGTGGCTGTCAACAAAACAAAGCCAATTACGCAGTTACTATTTCTTAAACAAGTCCAAATTTGAGACCCAGCTCACTTCGCTAATCTGCAAATTTTCCATTTTGATGATTTAGCAGAGACTGGGTCGAGAAAACTAGAAATATCAACCGTGGAAGAGACAGAAGGAAGTATCTCTCTTCCACGGTTGATATTTTTAGTTCTTTTGCCCCTGTCTCGGTCAATTCATCCAAATTGTTAATATACATTCCAGCTCGCTTGCGCTCTCACAGTAATTTCTACCAATTTCGTTCCCCAATGTTTACAAGAGAAGGCGAGTAAGCAGCGAAAGACATGAGGGCAAGTGAGGCAGATAATCATAACCCTATTGTGCACCGACTTCAGCACATAGCTGAAAAGAGATTTACACTGATGGCTGTACTCTAGTTTTCGTCTTATATATTATTAAAAAGGATGTAGTAAACCTAAAACAGGCATATAAGCTCAACATCATTGGGGCCTACACATGGAAATAACAGAGTGATAATGTAATTAAACCGCTGATGTAGTAAAATAATTTTTAGCGGTTCTATACTCAACCTCTTGACTCAGTATTTGTACAAAGAGTTTGCAAGACCACTTACTTCAGGGAGAGTGAGTAGTCATGCTTCGAGCTTTCACTATTGCGAACAAGGTAACTCCCTTCTTTCAGGACCCTGAGCAAATTCTCGGCGTCAAGTCTGCTGATAGATCCATGGTACCACCTGCAAGGGAAATGTAGAAAAGACAAAACAATACATCTTATACCAGACATTCTGAGATTTATTAAAAAAAGCGAATAGTAAACTGAATATTCATAAATCATTGCTGTTTTCATGTTATGTTATCTCATTGATTAAAGCTGTAACACTGAAAGCTTGAACCAAATGAAGAAACCTCGTTATACTGCATTCAACACATAAACCCTACGCTCCCAAAGGTACTGCTAAAAGCACATAGCTCCTCGAAACACTTGTTTTCACAAGCAATTGTGCAGGTGAAACGGTTTCTATAACTCCTCAAGCCTCTCAGAATGCTGAACAGAAGTCCTGATATAATGTAGTTATTGTAATATATATTAAAAATGCTGAGGGTCCTGCCAAGATCCCTTGAATGAAGAATTTGACAGACAAACCCTCTTTGAGCTTATATATACCTGGTGTGCATATCACTTCTAATCCTATTTAGGGCACCATATACCATATATTATGGTTGCCGAATGGGCCACGTAAAGCCCAACTGCAACACTCTTAATTACTAAAATATATCTTGCGCAAGTGCCTTGGTTCACTTGAAATTAAGATAGGGTATATGTAGGGTGTGTACTTTCCGGTGTTTATTTGTGAGAAAAATCGGCGGATATTTGTCGGTGTTTATTTATTTTCGAAACACCGGTGTATTTCAGTGGAACGTCTCACGACGAGGCTAAAATCGGTGATTATCGGTGGAAAAAAATGCGATTGATCACAGACAGAGAGTTCTAATTTTATTCACATATTTCATGCACTTCTCGAAGAAGCATATATTTCTCACACTTGGTTATTATAGTGGCTGCAAGCATACTTCGAGAGGCTTGCATCCGTCATGGCAGCACGTTCCTTGCGGTTCACAACCCGCAATTTTGAAAACACACGCTCCACATTTTCGCTGGACACAGGAAATGCCAAGATGTCCAGCCAGGCTTGGGACAGTAGTGGCCAGTCAGGTAAATGAAGTTTCCAAAATAACACTGGATCAACGATAATAGTCACAGCATACTGGCGGTCACAAAGAAACTCTGATTCTAGGTCACTCAGCCAGCTCTCGTCTCGGAGGACCAGCCGATAGATACTTTCATAAGGCACAAATCCCTCTGGCAGCTCCACGTTCATGCACGGATTAACAATTGGCACGCGGAACCAGAACGACAATTCATCCATGAAATCTGTAGCGTAGTCATCCTGAGCTTTCCGCTTACTTGCCATCCCGGTGGCCTTCTACTCCGCGTGACGACGAAGGGAAGCAAGTCTCAGGTTGAGAAAACCCGCAGACGCGGGACGGACGCGCCTTCTCAAACACGCCTGCAGATGTTTTTACAAAACGGTTCTTTTATATACAGCGAAAAACTCCCCCGCCAACAAAACCCTTTTTCCGTTTCCCCAAAAGCCCATGGAAACTAAACAGATAACAAGGAACGCATCTCGGTTCTGAAAGCTCAATAGCCCTGTACGACACGGATGTTGGTAGTGTCTTCCAGGAACCACAGCAACATCTGAATACATGGCTTTCACCGATATTACTTGGCCAGACACAATGGGAAAAAGGCACGTGAGAGCGTACCCTCCGCTGCGTTAATTTTTCCACAAAAGGGGGCCATGGGCGACACAATGGGGGAAAGGCGTGTGAGAGCTTAGCTTTCACTGCGTTAACTAGACGCTTTTCACCCCCCAAAAAGGAGGGCGGACTGACGTTACGTGCAAGCCATGCATACACTGGAAGAATGCAGGATCCACGAGATAACACGTTTGACGAACCTCTACGGGGAAAGGGTTTCGCTAGGTCGGAAACGTGCAACGACCGGTGTTTTTCGGTTTTAACCGGGGCGAAAATATCCAACCACCGGTGTTTTTCGGTTTTAACCGATTCTGTATTTTTGTCACCGACGGATGTTTATCGGTGTTTTTCGGTTAAAACCGGAAAATACACACCCTAGGTATATGACAGCAATGCAAGACCAAACCTTATTGCTCAATAAGTGAAAAGTGAAGTAACCAACATAAAAGAACCTAAACGCTGCGTAGCTTTGTCAACCCGCCATAAAAATTCTCGTCTAAATTTACTCTAAAAGATTTACCATCTTATGCAAATTATTGGCAAGGAAATAATGCATGAGCTATCTTGCTAGGCAGCTTGCCTCAATCACATCTATTGGGCTGGCACAATAAGATCAAACACAAACACACTCAACCTCAGATTCATACCTCAAGCATAAATTGACATGACACAAATTTTCCATTTTAAATTGCAGTTATTACTGATGTTTTGCTGTTTGAACAAGCTCTTCTCCCGTTAATTCAACTGCGAGCTTTTTTGTGCATTTACTGCCTTCTATGCTGAGAGTCATGATTGGGTAAATACTCACCCCTGCTTCTCAAGTGCAACGCTTGGGTCAACCTTCTCTCCCACAACGCTCAGAGCGGCGCAACCAAAGTTTAGTGTAAGGTTGTGCCGCGACCGCTTTGGCGAGTTCGATGCGTTCAGGTTCAGGTTTAGGTTTAGCGACGGTCGCGCTGGCGCTGCAAAAAGTGACCCAGAAGAAATGCATCACACACCCTCCAAAGCAACATGACAGTGAAAGTTTTTTTCACACTGTACTGTGTGGAAACACTTGACCGCTCCTGTAAAGGAGTGATCAAGTGTATGGGGATAGAGAGGAATGCTTAAAAAATGAAAGAGTTTCACAGGAGAACAGGCTCTAATGAATGGGGGTTCTGAAAAGGCTGCCTTTCTTGAAGTTTATACTTTATTCTTTTGTGGATGTTCAGACAACAGAAAGTTAGACAGCTCCGATCGGTGTCTAGAGTCTCTGTTCTATAAAAGAAATTTAACCAGTGCAGTCCATACAACTGCTAGCTTGGGATCTTCAACGTGCATCATGCCATAGTCCTGTACGACCGCACGCAGGTACAATGATCACCCAGGTCGAAACGGGCAGGGGTAGGGATTGAACAGGGATCTCTGGGTTCTGCAGTGCCAACTTTCACTCTGCACGCTTTGAGATGCGGTGCGTTAACCGGCCCCCCAAAGGAAGTCTCTTCACCCCGTAATTTCCATGTCACTACTAAGAGACGCCAACATATTTCTATCCAGCTGGAGGTGCTAAACAACGTCAGTTTTAAGATGCAATTCTTCCACATATTTCTAGAGGCAGTGGTCTCAAATTTCTCTGAGCTTTTTTTTCAGCTGCAGAGGTAAAACTACATTTGATTTATAAAGAAATGCTAAGTATTAATTTTGGAGCAAGAAAATTTCTAGAGAACTTTGCCGCAGTCAGGCTTAACGTTGATGCTCGCTTTGTACGAATGGCGATGTCCTATTCAAGGTAACCCACCATTGGGCCTGACAGGTGCCGGAGGCTCCATCGCGATGGACGTAGTTGAGGAGGATGAAGAGGATGCAGTAGTTGCTGATGCAGATGATGAGGCAGCTGCACTTGACGAAGGAGCTGGGCTCGCACAAGGAGGCTCCCTGGATGAGCTTGCAGTTGGAGTAGAGGCAGCTAGCGCAGCTTCTGGAGACGGTAGCCTCATCACCTGCGTCTGCAACAGAAGCATTCCCTCGAGCGAACGCTACCTAATCCAGCAATTGCGTACACAGCATAGTCCACCACAACTGACCACATTCAAAATACTGTAGGATCTCCTTGATACGATTTTCACAGGAATCAAGAAATGAAACATCATATGTAAAAATCACATCGTCTCAAATGGGCTCCAAAAGGTAATAAATTCTGCATACACACATAATGAGAAACTTGTCCAGATCCCGGAGGCAGTGCTATGCAGGCGTTCGCGGAGATATTGCATTGCCTCGGAGATTGGCCCACTTTGTCTTATTTATTAAAAAAAACTATTCGCTTGAGGTTTTTTGGAATTTTCAGTTTCGGTGTCCTTATAAATATCAAGTGTCAAAATCTAAATTGCGACAGCTCGCCTCCGTAGCCATAACCAGCCGCCGCGTGGCTACCGCGGTCGTTGCGTGGAGTCACATGGCATCTGACCATGACCCCTGCGGCTGTGCAACAGGTCGTTAGTGGCTGATGAGAATGTAATTTGCGCCAACTGAATACAAAGGTATCATTTTTTAAATATTATCCGCCAAACCTACTTTTGCTGTTGTACTCTCTAATTTCAAGAAACATATATGATTGCATCAAAACTAAAGCAAGTATGCAGGCAACCTGGTTGGATACTGACACGGTAACCGAGGAGCGGAGAAAAAAACGGGACGGACAACACGAACCTCCAATTAAAGCATTGTGTTGTCTGCCCCCCCCCCCCCCCCCCCCCCCCCCCGCTCCTGGGTTACCATGTCATGATCGTTATTACTGTATCTCAATACATTGCTTTTATAAAACATTGTCCAGGAATGAAAGAAAGTATTATGCATAATGTGTTATCCAGAATCGCATCAACGAGATTAAACTGTATAGTACATAACGTGCATATTACAAAGGTTCTCCGTAGAACAGAAAAATTTCAGTGCCCGATAAGCTGAACATACAGAATGAGTAAACCGTTCCAACAAACCTTGACTCGGTTAATGTGGAGTTCATTCTAATGAGAAGAGAATGCGACGTGATATTTATTCGAACCTAATTACAAATGAATTGCTGACATTTATTGCATATACGAATATGCTGCTGAACATCAGTGGTCTTTGTCCCCAATGACGCTGATAATTCACATTTACGGGCTGATTGTCGGACAGCAGTACTAATGCGAAAGAATGCATGTACATCAAAGCAGGGGTTACATGGATGTATATATTTACCTGTACCAGTTTTCACATTGTTATTTTTCCAGGCAAGCATTCCACTTAGACATTTTACTGATCTATTTCCATGAAGCTGGATGACCAACTTTCATGCGCATATGCAACATCAAATTCGGAACGTTTTCGGAAGCTTCTCTTTTTAACCCCAAACACCAAACTACCAGCTGCCTCTATAGTCATTGACGAAATGAGAACGGCAGAGCATGTCTTCTGAACACCCGGCCTGCAGCACAAGGTGGAAGGCATGAACCGCGTGTTTTGGCTGCATGTGCGTCCTCGTGCACGAAGTCCCTTCCTGCCATTCCCATCTTGTCAGTGACTGCGTGTTCACCTCGCCCCAGCGTTTTTTTTTCCTACTTACGCCATTGGCCTGGGTAGGGGAGTGAAGTGCCGGGGGCTTGGCAACCCTGTGACCCGGCACTTGGGGCGGGGATTCCGTGTGCTTCAGCCTCGGCAAGTCCCAGGGCCGGTCGTAGTCGCCCTCAGGCCGCGTGTCCGAGCTAGGGCTCTGACTGTGCAGCGGCTGCGGTTGCGGCTGCGGCTGCGCCTGGAAGGCGCCCCGGCACGCCAGCATCCGCTTGTCCGCCGGACGGCGGTCTGCGTTGACATCCGTGGCGGCGTCTACGCTGGAAGACGGCGTCGGCTGTGGCAAAATAGGAGAAAAACGTGGTGAGAATGTCGCCTTCGCGGATACTTTTAATGAGTGCCAGACTGATGTGCTGCTACTTAAGTACTTCCGGTTCGGGTTATATTGTACCAAAGGCTGAAAACTAGTCAGTAGTTGCGTGGAACAGCCATCAACAAAAGGAAGACAGACAAAGTGCAAAGACATAGCCCTTTGCTTTTCATGTCTCCTGAACCACTGACACAGATCTCATTGTAATTGTTATTGCTGCTATTATTCGAGTGATAATTAGAAGGGCAGAATCTTTAATGAAAAATTTTATATCTATAAGACATCACTTGGTCCAATGAATGAATATGATTAAATAAGATCATGTAAGAACATCAAAAACCTTAAAGACATATAAGAACAATATAGAATTATATAAGAAGTTATAAGAAGCTTTTTATCAGTTTCTTATATCTTTTTATAAAACCTTATACTGTTCTAATATGTTCTTATAAGGCTGACGTATAAGAGCAAATATGCTCTTATATGATCTTATTTGATCATATCCGTTTATTGGACAAGAAAAGTTATAGATATAAGATTTTTCACCAAGAGTAGCAATGGGCATTTAGCAGATCAAATCAAAGACTGCATACCCTATAGTATCAGGTCTTGAATACCCAACCATCACCAGCAAAAACCTCTTGCAATACTCATTTTAGCTTTAGACACATTTCTAACTCACATGTGTGTGACATATGTTTTCACAGTGGGAAGTTAGCTTACCCTAGAGCCGCAGCTGACATCTGTTCTACAAAGTAGAGCACTGCACGGGCCGGAATTTCTAGGCCCGGCCCGACCCGGCCCGGTAGAGACAGGGCCCGGACCCGGCCCGAGCCCGACAGAATTTTTAATTTCTAGGCCCGGCCCGACCCGGCCCGGAAGAGACACGGCCCGGGCCCGGCTCGAGCCCGACAGAATTTTTAATTTCTAGGCCCCACCCGACCCGGCCCGATGGCTGTAGCCCGAAACAACCCATTCCTGTTTGAACCCGTCCCGTTTCGACCCGTTCCCGAAACGAGCTCCCCATTTGAACCCGTCCTGTTTCGACCCATTCTTTAAACGCCCTTCCCATATGAACCCGTCCCGTTTCGACCAGTTCCCTAAACGCCCTTCTCGTTTGAATTTGTCCTCTTTCGACGCATTCCTTAAACGCCCTTCTTATTTGAACCAGTTTCCGAAACACCCTTTGCGTTTGAACGCGTCCCGTTTCAACCTACTTTTATAAGGCCCTGCACATCGAAACCTCTTCGCAAAAAGTCACCATCGTTCTACGCTTGGTCTACGGACCTTTTCTGTTTAAGAATATGTCCTGAAGTAGCTTTACATCTCAACGCGTTCTTAAAATATACAACCCTTTCAGGCAAGCTTAAGTTTAATATATTCCTACTTAACCCCTTAAAACGTTTTTTTCAAGATGGCTCCCAAAACGTGCAAGCGTGGAACGGAATATGTACACTGCGCGACACTGATACCGCGAACACGACGTTGGCTCTTTTTTCGAATTTTACTTCGAATTTGTGTTAGTAGGCGCCAAAGTATACCGCTTAGGTCTGTGGTCCAGATGAGCACTTCTAAATACATTCATACTTTTAAAAACAGCGTTTTGATTCTATGAGATAAACATAAAAATACGACGATCGCTTGTTCGCGCTAATATAGTGTCGCGCTCTGTGCAGTAAGGGAGTCTTACCGCCGAATTCAGAAACCTCGCTCAAACTACACTGAAACGGAAGGGCCCCTCCACTTCCTCGAGGAAGGCGCGAGGGCCGGCGCTGGCCAATGGCGACGGCGGATCCGTCCTCGCGATTGGCCAGCGCCGGCCCTCGCGCCTTCCTGGAGGAAGTGGAGGGGCCCTTCAGTTCGAGTGTAGTTTGAGTGAGGTTTCTGAATTCGGCGGTAAGAATAACGTACTCAAGCACTTTGGGCAAGCTAAAATCAGCATCGCCATAGGTTTTACATCGCAACGCTATTCTTACGGTACCCAAAGCACTTGCGTACGTTTTTCTAAATCTTCCTAATAGTGAACTAGATATTTTTGAGAGCGATGAATCAGACAAGTTGACAAGCACATGACTGGGACTTTATTTTGTTTACAATTTATAACACTGAACCCTCGCTCACACGGAAAAAGCTTGAAGGCTTTCTAGCTTCAAGACGTATTTTAGTTATTATTTTTAACGACGCTGTAGTGATTTGCACTTCGCTTTTTTTTTGTATTCAATGAACCTAAAAGATTAATGAGCAAACTTCTTGCTATCAACAATAATTTATGATTTACGGGACAAGATTGCCCAGGCACAGCCCGGGCCGGCCCGGGCCGGCGCGGCCCGAGAAATTTTTTGTTCAAGCCCGAGCCCGGCCCGGGCCCGTTGAAAATACCTGCTACCCGGCCCGAGCCCGGCCCGCGGGCCGGGCCGGGCTCGGGCTTTCGGGCTGGCCCGGGCCCGTGCAGTGCTCTACTACAAAGTGCATAATTTAGGCCATCTACTAGTTCGACTGCAAACCAGGGAAATCGGGCATGCCTCATTTCTGCCGATTTTGCAGGTTCATTGCCAATGAATGCCCATCGTAATTTACACTTATAACCGACACATATGAAATACTTTGAGACAAGACATAAAAAGTGAAGTGGACAAGGCCATTAGCTCTGAGATAAAATGCAAGGGTTTCATAGAATCAAGCTTGCCACCTTGAAAGCGACTCCATTGAGAACGGTAGGAGGAGCAACGGCGACAAGGCGTCCCCGCTTTTCCTCCGGCTTCCGGGGACTGTCGGAGGATGAATTGGAGAGGCTGTCCACAGACGCAGATGCTCTGAAACCCCCAGGAACATCTTGGCCCCTGACAAAGGAAAAACAAAATTCCTGAAAATTTGCAATTTTACAGGGCTTGCGAAAGTATAGATCAAAGGTTACCAAACATTTAAATCTTGAGGGACTCTTATCTGCCTTATCTGCCTTAAATGACAGCCAAAGAGCACCTCCTAATCTTGGAAGCCAAATGCCTACTGGCAGTAAAGCAGTGCAGAAGCCTGCTGACTTTGCATACAATAATTAACAGCGCATAAAGTCGGGGGGGGGGGGGGGGTTGGGGGGGGGTCTCAGACCCCCCACCGATTTTGACGGGACTGGGGGGTCTGAGATCATTTTCGAGAGTAGATCGAACCGTCGCGTCCTTAACGGCAAAGTTGAAAACTGAACCCATGGTCACAACATGAATTATTTGGGCGTGTTTCTAACGCAGCGCTTGGCTGACGTAGCCGAACGCTGTGTCAGTGTTTGGATGCATGTGCCTGTCATTAGTTTGAAGACAAGCTACTTGTCAAAGTACCGTATTTACTCGCAGAATGAAAGCACTTTTTTTTCCGAAAAATCGATGCAAAGTTAGGGGGGGGGGGGCGTTCATTACGCGAAGTAAAATTTTTGCGTCCGTATTTACTCGCATAATGAACGGACATTTTATCCTGAAAAATCGAAGTAACTTCTTATCTCTTTGCGCGCGGCGCCCCGACCCCGTAACCAAACTAAGCTCTGCAAAAAAAAAAAAAATTTTTTTCATCTAGCTTTTTCTTTTTTGTTTCTTTTGCCGCCTTTTGCAATTTTGCAAGTTGTCTTGTTTGCTTAGGCGAGGGCTCTCCGCTTATCTTTCTTATCTCCTTGCGCGCGGCGCCCGACGCACGACCCCTCCCGTAACCAAACTGCGCTGTGCTACAAAAAAAAAAAAAAAGCTCACCTTTTTTTGTTTTTTTTTCTCAGTTCCGTGGGGTTTTTGTTTTTCTTTTTGCCGCCTTTCGCAACTGTTTCGTTTGCTTAGAGGGCTTCTCCGCTCCTCTTTCTTACCTTCTTTGCGCGCGGCGCGCGACCCCCCGTAACCAAACTGCGCTGTGCAAAAAAAAAGCAAAAAAAAAGCTCCTTTTTGTTTTTGTTTTCTCTTAGTTATAATGGTTTTTTTCTTTCTTTTTGCCGCCTTTCGCAAGCTGTTTCGTTCGATTAGAGCGCTTCTCTTTCTTACCTCCTTGCGCGCGGCGGCGCGCGAACCCAAAGTCCAGACTGCGGCGTGCAAAAAAAAAAAAAAAAAAGCTCCTCTCCATGTTTTTTTTTCTTGCTTCCGTTGAATCTTTTCGAATTTTTTTAACGCCTTTTGCAAGGCGTTTTGTTCGCCCACACTGCCATGCATTCGCGACCTCGCTGGCTGCACCAGGATAGAAAAGTGCGTTCATTTCGCGCGCGTGGAGGGAGGGGGTCAAAATTGTGACATCCGAGTTGGGGGTGCGTTTATTACGCGAGTGAAAAAAAAAGTCAAAATTTTGCGAGCCGACTTAGGGGGTGCGTTCATTACGCGAGTGCTTTCATTGTGCGAGTAAGTCCCCCCCCCCCCCCCCCCCCCTCCCATCTGCACTCCCGCCGAGGTGACCACAACAGAAACCCCCTACCACGGGCGGGAGACAAAGTTCTGGACTAGTTATCACACATTGTGCATTTCAGTCGTATGCATGCATCATCTCAGATCTTCTAAAACAGGTATTACACTGGAAGACCACCGTACTTAGGGGCAGGCCTTGGAGAATCTCTGCATCATTAAAAACCAGGGTGGAAAAAATCGTGATTTTTTTAGTAAATCCGGTTTTTGAAGTTACAAGTAAAATTATCTGATTTTGGCTAATTTGATTGAAATCACTGTAGCTAGTAAAAGTGATTCATTATCACTCTATCTCTATTTGACATGGCAGATTGATTGATCAATCTGTCCAATCAGTGAAAAGAATGTGGACGAAAATAGTGTAAATTAAAAGTACAGCATAATTCAAAATGCTTATTGATGTAAACCCTGCCACACCACAAAAAAGCAGCTTCATTTTCTTGCTGTGAAAAAGATTTATTTGGTTTTTCTTTCACGTACTGATCTCCTTGCAATATCACAGTATTTTCCTTGCATTTTTTTTCTTCCTTCTGCTTTTTGATTATCTGGTAGTAGGGCATTACATACCTTACAAAGTGGAATGTACAAAGAATGTTCGATCAACTTTCCAGTTTTACCAGAAGAGACCGCTGTTTACTCATTTTCAGCCTGAACAAGCTGGTGACGGTTTAACATTTCGGACAAAACCCCGAGACTGGGGGGGGGGGGGGGGGGGGGGGGGAAAGGACAACAGAACACAAAGTCTCAAACTTTGTGTTGTGTTGTCCTTTTTCCTCCCGTCTCGGGGTTTTGTCCAAAACGTTTAGATATTTCTTGCTTGACAATTATTTTATTTAATAACAAAACAAATACACACAGAATGCATTAAAAGAATTAAAAAAAATAATAAAAATATTTTTAGGATTATTTGTTCGGGAAAGGTTTGATTTAAATCATAACTGGAAAACCAGTGTGATTTAAATCACAATATAAATCATCTCGATTTCCTTCACCCTGCTAGGAAGCGAGTTTGAGAATCCATGATGCGAGATATTTGGCCAAAGTTTCGGGTGCGCGGCTGTCCTTACTGAGCTCCGTTGTGCAGTGCGCCGAGGGCGTGTGGAAGGGGCGGGGCGTGCCGGCCTCGCTTCTCGTCGGGCTTGCGGGGGCTATTGTCCGACGAGGAAGACGAGGACACATTGTCCGACGACGTTGCCTGGAACCCGTTGAGCAGCACGGGTGCGAGCGCCATGGGCTCGCCCTCGCGCCGGTGATTGTGCCGCGTGCGGCGCACGGGCTCCGATGGAAGCACCTGCAACAGCATTCCAGATCATTCGAATGGCATTTGAAAATTGCCAATATTATACATGTTGAAGCTGGAATATTTGGAAATCGAATATTTGCAAGTGCTCAAATTCGAAAACTTTGATATTCGAAATTGTTGGTAAAAAAAATTAGGTCCTGGCGAAAATTAAATAATTTACAGTGGGGGCTTGAAGTAGGACACCCACCTTAATCCCGCCCGCGTGGATGCTGCGCTTGACAGCCATGGCCACTTGGGAGGCGGACTTGTCCGCTCCAGGGGATTGGGGCAGCGGGTGGTTTTGGTAGATTGCCTTGTCCGCCGAGGGCATGGAGGGCTGGATGGATGGATGGATATAAGTGACTCCGCTTTTAATCGGGTGGCGGCGTGAGCCGTTTAGCCAGTTTTCCTTTTAAACAGTTGATATTCACCTTGCCATGGCCCGGTTGGCCCCTGGTGGCCGGCACCGGAACCGCGCCGCTGCTTGACCCACGAGGTGCCGCCATTGGCTGTTGGCTGGCTCCTGGTTGGCTGGAACCACTTCCACTGCTTCCCTGGATAGATCATCATCATAACATTATGATTATCGCCGATGGCCCTTTAGTGGCACCTTTAAAAGACGAGTCGAAAGAGGAGAGGCAAGCTAGTACAATGTAAAACATACTGGTCAGACTACCTGTGTCTGACACGAACATCAACTTAAGTAATAACAGTATATTTCTAAAATCTGTCGAGTTGATTGGCACGAAATATGCAATGGTGCTTATGGCATGCTCTTTCTGCACGCTTTCGGCAGCTGACCAAGCCTATTACCTTCCAATGTGACACACCACTCTTTGCATCACATGACTGCGGAATCTCAATGAGCTTCCGTTCGAATTCAATTCTGAATCAATGGCACTCTATAAAAGGGAATTCAAGGTTTGTCGGGAGCTTTATTCTTAGAGAGGAGATAGAAGTTCCAACCAGTATGAAACTGTGTCAATTTTCCCAAATATTCCTCGTGCGTATCCAGGAACCACTGCCATTCTTTTGGCAGTGTCCCTATTTTTTTTGGCATAAAAGAACTATAGGATGTATGACTGCAGTCGGACACAACCTGTCCGTTTGGTTAATTTGTCGCAGGCTGTCGTTCTTTGCCAAACTGTCGACACCATTCGTAAATACTTGTTTGGGACAATATTTTTGTACATTCTTCTAAACATTTCAGCTTGTTTGACTTTCTTCATAAAAAATTGGTTTACGCAACGCTGCTACAAAACTACAGCCATAGTGCTTTCCGCAATAACAATTGGAACTGCTACGCTTACGTCACATACATCGTTCCGGAAGTGAGACATCAAAGAAGGATTACGTTAACGTCCACCGTACGTTTCATTATGCTACACATATTCAGTTATTTTTTCCTGACTAGAAGTCCCGGTCAACCTTGAACGACCCTTGTAATAAAATTCCTTCCTTCTATCTCTTTTCATTTATCTTCCCTCTTCATTTTGCCATTCTCTTCTCACAAACCCCAACATTCTCAACGGACCTGATGCGGTGGCGGTTTGGGACATCCGTCCTGCAGCGACGACGCCGACGACGAACCCGACGACGTCGGTCTCGCAGCGACGCCTCCGACCTTCCGAAGTCCGGCCACGGCGCCGCCACCACTCGCACCGGGCACCGGAAACAGCGGTCCGACACGGGTCGGGTTGTTGTTGTTACTGTTGTTCTGGGCGGGCCCGAGCCCCGCGAGAACGGGACTCTGCGCGAGGCGGTCCAGGTCCATTTCCGGTTCCCGTTGCCGCACTCTCGAGTCGAAGGCCGTCTCGTAGATGTGCCGCTGCCGGGCCATCTCGTCGGCCGACAGCGCGGCCGAGGACGGCGCGGGAACTGCTGCGGTCGCCGCGACTGCGGCGGAGGGCGGACAGTCCACGTCCTCGCCCCTCAGAAGCCGCAGGGCCGCGGCGGCCGGGCCGGAGTCCCAAGGGTCGCAGTACTGGACGTCGCCGGCGTCCTCCTCGTCGCATGGCTCCGGCACCGCTGCGAAAGCCGAGGAGGGAGCACTGAAACGACGCCTTCTCCATGGCACAAATAGCGTTTTCACATGACGTCAATCCGCCATTTTGTGGTTAGTTTGTTCTTAGAGCGCAGCTCTTATGCGCCCGTTTCAGCGTACAGCGGCGTCGCCGTCGGCGTAACTGCCCCGCTATATTTAACGGGAAATTGAATTTGTGTTGAGGTCACGTGACGTCAATTTTCCCGCCAAATCTAGCTCTAATTTCGCATCACAAAGATTTGTAAACGTCTTTCATTTTTTCAAAGTTACTAATTTCAGGGATTACATCGAAACCTGTCGAAGAGATGTCAGCCTTGTAAGACTCATAAGCCTCTGTACTCTAATCATATGAGGTGTCATGTAAATCCTAGAACGCCCGCCTTTGGCACACGCCAGACAACTCGCAACAACAAAATGGCGGACAAAATTACGTCGGCGGAAACACACTCTACTGTACGATGGATCTCTGAACTGTGCCACTTTGTCTTAATGAGTACTCTAAGTACACCCTACTTGTTGAAGGTTAAGGTAAGCAGGACAAGCACTTCCGGCGAATCCTTCTCCTCTTCCTACTTTATGAGAGCCGCAGAGAAGGCGAGACGAGGCGAGAACGTGCTTCCTCCTCTCCGGCATTCGTTCTGCTAAAGTGGAAAGGGCATCGCGGAAGGAGCGTGTCCTGCATTTTCTTAACCTACGGCAGGGTATACGCTGCCCTCTTCGACAATAACATCGACATTACTTCAATCGCAATGAAAGATGAATCAAACGCGCGGCAAGCATTGAACACGAGAGCTAAAGCGCGAAACACATGTACGACGAAACCGTCCGATCCGACGTCCGACCGCGCAATACGACGGTGGGAGGCGAGGGTTTTCAACGCTCTCCGATGCTACGGAAACCCTCTCCCCCCAAGGTCATTCCGGCAGGCCGCACGTCGGATCGGAAGGTTTCGTCGTACATGTGTTTCGCGCTTTAGTCAGCCTTCTGTCGGGACTTGCGTACAATAGGTGAGGACACGAGTCCGAACCGAACGCCGACGGAGCTCGTGTTCGACCCCCGGCTCGCGTTCGCCTCTTTAGTTGACGTTAAGACTTCAGCACTACGTCGCTGTTATCTAGAAGATGTCAGTCGACAATAAAATGGGAGAGAGCCTAGGTATATGCGCCACTCAGCAATTCACCAGCTTCATCCGTCTGTCTGGAATGCCTTCCACCGGGTTCAGCGTGCGAGGCTGTAGATGCGGACGACGCTGAACTGGACACGGGGTGCTGGTGCGCGGGAGGCGGGGGCGTCGACTTGCTGTTGTTGCCAGCCCGCTGCTGACCCTCTGTCTGACCTTTAGACGGTGCAGGGGAAGAGGAGCTGGCAACGCTGGGCGACGTGGGAGCCGCTGCACGAGACAAAAAAAGTGCCAAGAAGGCATCAGCTGTGTCGCTTTGTAGCTAGGACAAATATGGCTAGAGTCTGTTGCAGGGTAGATATAACGGGACGTCTTCCTTCCACAAAGATCTCCGCTCACCTGCTCGTTTTGCTAAAATAGAAAGAATGGATGGCTTTGAAGGAGGTGCCCGTCATAATCTTCTTAAACTGCAACAGACTATAGAGTCTCATCATTTGCTCCATGGGCAGGGTTTAATGAACCACTTAGTCTAGTCGGCTTCGTGGTGACACAAAAAGACGTCGAAAATTTTTTTATCGTTGGAAAGAAGTGTTAATTATACAACTATTATTGGTAAAAAAAACTGCGCCGACTTTACTTAACAAGATTAACAATTTAATCCAACGTTTCGTCTCCCTTGCGGGAGACATCATCAGTCAAACCTTCAAGCAGGAATGACTTACTTAATTGTAAGTATTTCCTGCTGACTTACTTAATTGACTTAAATTTTGCATTGTCTAAACGAGAACGCGAAACATTGTTTTTTTTTGTGTAAAAAAACAGACCTTTGGGTTAGTCAATCCGTACTTTCCACAAACATGGAACCCCCACAAAATTTGTAAGAACTGATTACTGTATTTCTTAAATAGAAAAAAAAAGAACGACGTTTACAAATATCTGTAACGCGAAATTAGAGCGCAGCTCTTGAGAAGGAGGAGGGGAGGGTATGCCCCTTCTCCTCGTCCGTACCCTCCCCTCATCCACTCCCATCCTCCTCCTCCTTCCCCACTCCCATCCACCTCCTGCCACCCTCCTCCTCTGTACCTTCCCCTCCTCCTCCCCCGTACCTACACATCCTCTTCCTTCGTACCCTTTCCTCCTCCTCCTCCATATTCTCCCCTCCTCCCACAGTTTCCCCGCTAAATTTCGCGGAAAAATTGACGCCACGTGACCTCAACACCAATTCAGTTTCCCCGCTAAATTTAGCGGGGAAAATGACGTCACTTAACTTGGTGTCACGTCACCTATGAACAAATTCAATTCCCCACTAAAGCGGGGAATTGAATGGGTGTTGAGGTCACGTGACGTCAATTTTCCCGCTAAATTTTAGCGCGGTTACGCCGGCGCAGACGGCGACGCCATCGAAACACGGAAACGGGAGCCTAAGAGCTGCGCCCTAAAAATACCTCGCGAGGAATTTGTTCAGGTGTGCTGGAGTCACAGTACTTGGTAATTCTTCATAAATAATGCAATGGGCGACAGTTACTGGTACACCCCCTTAAGAGTTACTAGCAAAAATGGACTTGCAGAATGTTCAATTTGTCGGAAAGCAGCCTCCACCCCGTCCCCGTTGATAATATTAAAAATGCTTCAAGAGACAAAAAAAAAAAAAATTCTTGGATAGAAACAACGCTATGAAAGGAGAAGACATGAAGCTGCGTCCATCCGCCATTTCGTTGTCTTTCGTAATCCATACAAAATGTTTGAACAACAAACTATATTTAAACTGACCCCGATAGATCAGACTTTCCCAGGCATACGTTAGGCATATTAAAAGGCGCCTTCATCGACGGTCGTTATCGTTTAATTGAGTATTGTAAATATCGGCTACAAAATGGCGATACAATAGTGACTTCGGCGAACGCTCCCAAAATACAGAATGGTTGAAGATTCCCGTAAAGGTTCGAGGCACACTAAACCCCATCAAGTCATTACGACTATTATTCCGCTGAATTAACTCTCCGATCTACGTTCCCAGCGAATGTGAAGTGAAAACCGAATTGCCTTTTCTTTTATTAATATATATATTAGCGTAGAACAGTCATCTTCAGCACCATAGAATCGCTGATACGGTTTCTTCGAAAGCAAGGGGCCCCTAATGACAGTTCGAACCGGAAATCGTTTAAGCCACGCTCTATCTCCGTGAGTGCCGAATCCACCGTATTTTGTCGGATAACCATGTCCGAAACAGTCAATAGCGCGGAAGGCGAACGGCCGGACGCTGAGAAATGGGGAGTAATGCGACCGGCTTCACAACAGCAACAAATCCCTCCCCGGATAAGGGGCACTATGTTCCGCTTCACGGTAAATTGAACTGCAGCGTGCGCTACGAGTTATCAAAGCCAATCCAAAGCCGAGTAAACGACACGTGACTTTTGGGAGGGGCTTAAGGACTCGCGGGACGCGTAGTCACGTGATAAAAATCACAGAGCTGGATTGGCTGGGATGGCCATCGCAAGGGGAAACGAAGTGTAGCTTCCTGACTCGCCCAATGTCCGACACCGCGATCAGTTTCAATGCTTTTTCTATTTGCTCGCTTCCCTCCTAATCTTATGTCTAGATTCTTCAAAACAAAAGGCTTCCCAGAGAAACACAAGGGCACACGTAATCTCGACATACGTGCTAGCCAGAACGAGCCAATTGCGATAGACCTTATAATATTTTATGACGTGAAAGATCGGTGTACTGTCGCGACGCAGCTTAGTAGAGGAACGACCAACCAAAGTCACACTTCTGCAGTTGTCGTATCGCCGGGCCTTCAACAGTCGCAACATCGGCTCGAGCTAATAACGATATATACACCTAAAAGAGCGCCCTGACCAATCGGAAGTGACAAACAGTCCCGTATTGTCGAGTTAGCCCCACACCCACGATTGCCTCTGCTACCTCTTCTACATCGCCAACACACACACCACCGTCGCATGGTTGACAAGTGTACCTTTAAAGGGGCGATGCAACGATTTTTGTACCCTGCACGAATACCGCTTAGAACGGGTCCCTGGCGTTAATGACATGTGAAACACCCGTTTGTTTTTCACCACACGCAAACGAAGCCGCAGACAAAAATTAAAAAAAAAACGAGCAACGTCCCCCCCCCCTTCCCTCATCATGCCGCCAAAACAAGCGACCACGCCATCTGGAGCCGATTATATGCCGCCAATGTTGATCATAGCCACGCGCTCAGGTTAACAAGGCACAGGACACGCGCTGAGTCCCAGGCATTGTTATAATTCCGCTATTGCCGTCATTGCAGCGATTGGACACGGGCCACCACCCGAATGCTTCCCGAGCTATCGATTATCACGAGCTTAAATCGAGTGTCCACGCAATGCTCCAGTCCAATCTATGAGCTACATTTAAATATCGTCACTGGAGGATACTGTGATCGCACAGCTACGTTATCAAGTTTTACGAAGGAGGGATTCAATGAAAACGCTCGCCTTTGTCCTTGAAAGTACACCGCAACAAAGGAGTTTTTTGGCCAGTGGCGTTGCGTGCGAGTATGCGTGAGTCCCATTAGTGCCAGTAAGCTCATGTAAAGTGGAAAAAAAAAGGAAAAAAAAAAAACATTCCGATTGATTATCGTTGCACCGACCCTTTAAGCTTTAAGAAAGCAGCCGCCGTTAGGCCAACAACGCGCACACAGCACCATCGACCGGCAACAGGATGAGTGAGAGGCCGCGGCGCCGGATGAACGGCCGAGAAAGTTGGCGACTCCTCGCGCGTCAGTTCGCCGGCTCGTCGCTCGATGGCGCCAGTAGCGCTTTCTTTCAGGGGTGACAGCCGGCCACTGCGCTACAAGTGCGTATTTTTGTACCGGAACTTATGGAAAAAGCGCGTGCACCCGCGACATGCACGAAACCTGACGTCACGATGTCGCGTGACGTCACGGTGTCAAATCGCGACGTCAGGCCGCGTGTCGTAAATTGTTCCCGTTAGAATGTAGTAAACAATATGTCCTAGCACTCTGCTAGAGGAGCGATTCGTGTCTTAAATACTACATGTCAAGCATTATAGGAATTTTGGAGATAAAGGTGGCGGGTAATGTTATTTAAAAACTGTCCTTCGGGGAAATTCCGAAAACTTTGCGTCTGTTGCAACGAGAATTTTTATCGGGTACTGCAACCGAGGATGACGACACCAAGAGTGAAAACCCAGGAAGCAAGCACAACCGTCTTCCATGATTACTCCAAACAATGCAGCATGACAACTCCGAGGCCTAAGCCGTGGTCCTACTGCTAGTACATGTTACAAAAGACAGTCTGAAGAGACTACGTGAGGCCTGTTTCTACCATGTATGGCGGTCCTACGACATTGGTCATACAAAAAGAAAAACACGTGTTCCAAGCATACACTGTGAGGTTGTGCGAATATTCAAATTTTCGAATAGTACTTTCGAATATTACGGTATTCGATATTCGATTCGAGAGCAGCTGTAATATTGGTACGTTTCGAAGTGTTGGCAACCTGGAGTCGTGTGTTTATTTACTGTCTAAAAATACGTAAGACACAATTTATAAAATCAAAAATATACTCACACGTTCGGCAAAACGGTACAAATATTATGGTGGGAACTCTCAAATATATTCATCGTAGTCATTTCATCAACTTTGTTTAAAACCGGGAACAAGAAATCGATCAATGAGCTCTAGCAACGCCTGCGCCATATTTGCCAATCTTGGCTCCCTGTATTCCAATAAATAAGTCATACATGAATTAATTAGGGCCTCCTTCTCACAAATCAACACACTTAATAATTGCACGTCTGCAATAATTATCTTGCATGCCATTTTGCTGCCAAGATTTTTGAAAAGCAAGTATTCGATATTCGATTCGAAACTATTCGGCCAAAATCACTAGTCGCGTCGAATTTGATTCGAAATCAAAATCCCATATTCGCACAACCCTAATGCAGTGGTATCAAGCAAACATCCTTCGAACGTGCTCAAGGCCAGTCCGCAAACAACTATGACGTCACCTCTGCAGACCGTGTCTTTTGTATCATGTACGGGCAGTAAAAAGATGAACAGTCATACAAATGACTATTGCGTGTTTACCCATCGGGCTTGCTTTAGCCTGGGACGCCAAACGCTAGATGTAATTCGCGGGCCTGGAAACACTCGCCCTTTTCATATATATATATATATTTTTTCTTACATTTAGCGGTAATACGATGTGACGCTATCGCGTGTACAAGATACGTGACAGCACTACTTGCAAGCTTCCTTTAT